TGCTGGTAAACACTGGGATGTGTTTGTGTATGTGTCTGTCTCCGAGCCATGTGTGAAGGAGCAGCAGAAACAGGACACCTCTTTCTGGGACTCCCTGTTTAGGGGGCAGTGTTTGTATGAATCACAAGTACCCACAGCCCAGCAAACAGGTGGCTGCTCAAGAAATGAAAGGACGTACTGAGTATCCCCAACAGTCATGACAGTCTCAGGGAAGGAGTGCTTTAGTGTGTTGACAGGTTCATCCTTTTGAAGATGAGGTAATTATCTGTGTGAGTTCACTCTGTGGCTTCCAGAACAGAGCGTATATGATCAGCTCCAGTGACATCTCCAGTGGCTCATCCCTGCAGCGGTGTATCAGGGTGGAGCTGTGCCCGTGCTGGAGCTGATTGCTCAGTGAGCCTGCTCCCTGGGATCTGTCAGCGGGCTGACAGCGGGAGTGGGGCTGCAGAGCTGCGGGTGTGGGCTGGCTGGGAAATGCAATCCGGGCTGGTACCTAGTACAGGCGGGAACTGGTACTGTGCTGCACACAGCAAGGGCTACAATATACTCCATCCTGCTGGGAAATCTTTGCTGTTTTACAGAATGTTTCATACAACCCAGTGAGCTCAAGAACATGCCAAGGTCCCCAGGATGCCAGGGAATGATCCTTTGCTTTAATGTGGCTTACGTGTTTTATCCAGGTATGTTTCGTGTCCCTGTTTTGCTCCATCTGCTAGCAAAGACCATCTACCAAAACAATTCTCTGAGGAATTCCACTAGTGAGGAATAAGGCTGTTTTGGTAGATGGTCTTTGCTAGCAGATGGAGCAAAACAGGGACACGAAACACACCTGGATAAAACACGCAAGCCACACTAAACTCAGGCAGGACTCAGAGAGCTGCCAGGGCACACAGGGATGGTGGGACAGCTGCAGGAGTGTGTGAGCAGCTCAGCCTGGGGGTCCTCGTCTCCCCCAGGGGAGGCAGGAAACCCTCCTGCCCTGCAGTTCCAGGAGTGTTTGGCCAAACCTGAGCAGAATCCTCATGCTGCAATTTCCCCCAGCATTCCTCATGACAATGCCAAAACAAGTAATTGGAATTAAAAATAGTAAAAAGCACCACATCTTTAAAAAAGTCATCATTGACCAGAGTTTCACTGTGGTTTGATTTATTGCTCTGCAAGGGAATCAAATAGGTTTGGTTTTTTTATTGGTTCTGATTCACTTGTTCCAGTGAATTCCAATTAGAAGGAGGTTAGAGTTATTCTTTCTGTTGGATCAATTATTCAGAACAGAGATCATGTAAAAATGAGTTTAGTGGAAGCAACTCACTTCATTTTTGCTAAAACTGAAGAAGAAATGAGCCAAATTAGCTAAAATAGCTTTGAACTCCATATTGACTACAGTGTTTGTGCCAGAATAAAAACTCATGACATGTAAGAACGGTGTAAATGATTAATCATTTTAGTTCATGGATATCTACATTTTTATTTAATTACATCTATGCATAACATAAACTGTCTGAATCCTGGGAATCCAAGCCAGAGAAGCTGAGGAGTCTTATTCTGTTTAACATCCACCATGTGTTGTTTTCTTGTAGGGTTAATTTGTAAAATGTAAACCACATACTATTTGTATGCAGTGTTCGGGGCTATTTATAGCAAGTCCTGACCATTTATAATTATCCGACATCTCTAACCATAATGTCTGTGTGTGACTAAGGAGATGGTTATGGAACAGACAAAACAATGCTACTTTTACAGCTGAACTTCAATTTATTTTATGGAAAACTTCTGGGAGTACTTTCTGCTCTGTGGAATGGGGAAGGTGTATTCTCTACTTGGACAGCTCTTTGTCAAGGAGACCAAACTTATTCCCCAATAGGAATAAGCACAGGCTTCCATTTTCCCTCTGAGGACACTCCCTGTGGAGCAGAGGCTGTAGGTACAAGGGCCTGCACAGCAGGTATGAGCCTTTCTTGGCTCTTCTATGGCTGCTCATGTTTCTTCTTTGTCTCTTGGCAGAACCCTGGAGGTTTTGGTGAGTTTGAATGAAGGCCAGTCTTTCATGTCCAGCTCGTTAACCATCACTGCTTCTGAGTGTGTAAGTGAATGACTTCTATCACTCCTTCTAAAATCCCCACACCCTGTTTCTCTTTGGACTTTGCCATTGCAAGGCCTCAGAGCACAGAACATCTGCTTCCACTTTGCTGTGCAAAGCTGTGTTTTTCTAAGTACTGGGAGGCTTTCCTGCCCTCAGAGACCTGTCCTGAGGGCCAGGCGTGACAGTCAGCTGGGTCCCATTCTGGCATGGCTCTTCCCTCAGTAGGGCTGGAGGGAGCAGGGGGTACAAATTTGGCCCTTGAGCCTGTGTGTGGAGAGAGGTTACAGACTGCAGAGGGGCTAATGCTCTGCAACTCTGGGGCCCGAGTGAGGAGTGTAGGCTCTCAGCTCTTGTTCATCCGGGGAGACAGCTGTCCAAGCAGAGGCCAGAGTGTCCCACTTACACCTGGGAGTCAGGCAGTGTGAACATCCTGCTCAATCTGATCACAGGTTATAGAAGAGATAAAAACTGCTTTTGGAAGAGACCACACACTTGTGCAGCCAGTGACTGTTCTAACTTAACGCATATATTTTCTACTCTCACATTTTTGCTGTCCTTTAATTCCTTTTGTATTACGCAGGACAGCTGGAATTTATGGAGGGAGATATGAGCCCACGGTGTTGAGCATGTGTTGTGCACGTGGGCCTTTAAATGTGTCTTACCTCACATGAGACTGGAGAGCAGCTTTTCCATTGGGCGTGGAGCACAGAGAGAATCTCTTTTGCCCATCACCACACATGGCTCCCAAAAGGATTTCTTTGCTCATAGATCAGTAACTGAAAAGAGAGAAAAAAGACATTTTTATTCAATTCATTTAAAACCTCACCATTTGTGCAGCTGTAGAGATCAGAGCTCCAGTGCAGCCCTGCAGTTTGAGGAGGGAAGCCTGACTGAGCTGGGAGCCGAAGGAACACCCAGAGCCCAAATCACAGTTCTGTGTTCCAGGGCCTTTGTCAGTCAGCAGCATGCCAGCCGTATGCCCAGGCAGGGTGGCTGAGGGCCGTGCAGCACAGGAGCTGCTGCAGCCCAGCTGCAGCCTGCTGCACCTCAGCCCTTGCAGACCAGGCAGCACATGGTGCCCCTGTAGGAGCTGCCAGGAGTGCACAGAGAGGAACAGAAAAGCCCTGACACAAAGCAGCTCAGAGCGAGGTGCTGGGCATGGCCTTCCCACCGAGCTGCATGGCAGCTTTGCTGTTCTGTGCTCACAGCCTGTCCTGGCAGGAAGCAGAGAGCTACAGATGTGCACAGCAGCAGGAAGAGCTTCTCAGCAGCCTTTTTTGTCTCTTTCTGGTTTCTGCTCTTGGCCTGTGCTGCAGCAAAGGCGGCTCCACACAAGAACTGCTGTTTCCATAGTAGCAGATGGGCAACTCAAGAAATGGGTCACTGCTAGAACTGCTCACTAATTCTGGGAGCTGAGCAGCTGACGGCTGAATGGGAGATGAGTTATAAGTTACAGCCTCCCAACAAACACACGTTACTGCAGTGAAAACAAACAAAATCACACAGCATTAGGCACCCAGGCACCACTGTACCTGTGCGCCTCACTGCACCTGGGATATGGCTCTGTTCCACCCCCATGTGCAGTGGAGCAGGTCTGGGTCAGGACTGCTCATGCAGTATTCCAGTCTCAGTGGTCCTCTGGGTCTCTTCTTTTTTCCCCCAGCTGAAGTCTGAATAACTTTTATTTTCCTAGAGATGCTGTTGTGTTTCTGTCAGTGTTTTAAAAGCCTAAAGTGTAGGAATAAAGACACCCCCAGGAAGTGGGTTGGAGGTGTGGGAGGTGGGCTGCTCAGTTCTGTAGTTCAGGCGTTGCTGGAAGCAGGAACACTCCCTCCTTCAGTTGCAGGTTCCCACAGGATGGCTGCAGGGAGTCAATGTGCCACAGTCTGTGCAGGAGTGTGGGCAATCTGCATCAAAGCCTCACAGGTGTTCTATTTGTAGAGATGCCCTAAAACCTCCCTGCGTGCTCCCCAGTCCATGTGTGAGACCTGGGTCCTCATGGAGAAGGGCACCTCTGTGTTATCCACAGGCTTAGGATGAGACTTCCCCTGTCGGTGGCTGGTGGCTCATTCCCTAGCAGGCAAGGGACTCTGTTTCCTCAGGCTGGGCCTCACTGTGATCTCAGGGCTGTCAGCTGTACGAGTTTTACATCAGAAGGAAGGCCCTGGGCTGGCTTGTGGGGCGAGCGAGTGGGGCAGCACTGACGCTGTCCCTGCTGTCTCTGCAGTCCAGTGGTGTGGGAGCGCTCATTGCCGTCCTCGTGCTCCTGCTGCTGGTGGCGCTCGGCCTGCTCTGGTGGTTCTGGCCCCTCTGCTGCAAAGTGGTGAGTACAGACCCTGGGAACAGCCCCTGCACCCTGAGCCATGGGTGGGAAACACAGATCCTGCAGGAAATGGGTGAAGTGATGGGGAGGCAGCTCTGGGGTGGCGTGTGACAGGCAGGAAACGACTGGGGACAGCAGCTCCAGCACTGGGGCTCCTCTGGGCACAGCCCTGCCTGTCTGAGTTACACACACAGGAACCAGCTCCAGCATGGTGCTCTTACTGGGAATGGGATGGCCTTAATGGTGTGCAGATGTTACCCTCAAATCAAGGACCACTTTAAAACTGCTCTCAGGAAAATTGGTATTTGTAGTCCATTATGGGCTCTCAGGTTGAAATCTCTATTTTTTTTCATAATCCCTGCACACATCCATCTCTTTATCTGAGTGCGCTCTCTATCCCCACCCCAGCAGCAGCGGTGTTGGTCACTTGCCTCCTGCCATTCCTTTCTGGGGGAGCAGGAAAGTTTATTATTCATCCAGCTCAAGGACAGCATGGGGGACTTGGGAAATGGAGATTGCTTCCCTGGTCTGGGTTCCTGTTCCTGTCTGGGGCTTGTGGAATGTGGGGCAGAGAGGAAGTGGCCTTCTCACCTGACTGTGCTGCAGCCCTTGGAACCTGGGGAGGTCCATCGGGCTCCTGGCTGTCCAAGGGCAGGGAATCTCAGCCTCCCTCTGCACCCTCACAGTCTGGGCTTCCTAAGGTGAGAACAAACAGCCTCCCTTGTTCTCATTCTCCACAGCACAAGCCCAGCAGAAATCCAGGGCGCTTCCTTTTAATCACCTTACCTCCACTGTGTTTCATATGATGAGCCTTCCTGTGGAAAAGGAACATTGTAAATCAGTAAAAAGCAAGTCCTGGTTTTCTTATTATAAGAAAACCTAACCTTGATTCATAAACCAGCTTCAAAAGTTAAAATTCCTACTTGAAGCAGTCCAGTGAATAGTTGTATATTACCAATTTTCAGCCTTATAAAACCATAGTTCTTCAAATGTTTGTGCCCTCTGTGTTTCCTCCTACCTCCTTTGGGTACTATTTTATTACTTCTAAAGAAAAGGTAACCTTAGGCCTCTTTGCTACAGCATTGCTGAGTTCCAAGCTCACACGCTGTTGCAGAGCATTCATCCTTCCTTCTGGTTTTGCTGTCCCTCAGTTCTTGCCTTTCTCTCCTGCCCATGAGGCTTGGACATCCATCACCTGGAAGGGCCACTTCTGGCTCAGTAGCATCCCTGAGAAGAGAGGCAGCATTAGGGCCAGGTAGGACTTACTCTTCCCTTCCTCTGGCTCTGCTTCCCTGGTTTCCTGGAACAAGGAGCAGGAGCACAGGAGTCAGATCCAGAGAGGTAGAGGGTGTTGTGGGCAGAACAAGTGTCTGTAGCCAGGCGGGTGGGTTTCCCCCTGCCCACGGGCCCAGCTCCATCCTGCCTGGGGCTCGGTCTCACAGCCTTCCGTGGTGTAAGTCCCATGGACACTCAGAGGGTGGGGAGGGGGACTCCTCTTCCTTTTCCTTCCTTGTCCCCCACTTACAAGGGTTTCACTGTGACAGTTCTGTCACTTGTCCCTCGCTGTGGAACATGTGATTGCAACAAGCTGGCTGTAGGCTCTGTGCTGACATCTCCTAATGCCCACATCATGGAGCGGCAGAGAAGTGTTAATGAGTGGATCAGAGGCACTGCTGCCTCAAGCACCAACTTCTTTTTTTTAATGATTTTTTTTCAAGAAATCAGCTCATCTCCAAACTCAAACCTTCATTCTTTGCGACTCACTAAATGAGATGGAGCTTTGCCCGGAGAGGCTGATAACAAAACCAAACAAACTGAGGAAGCAAACCATCTCTCCATGAGGATAGTAAGACAGCAGCATTATTCAGAGGCTTCCTCATTGAAACAGTCTGAATTTAGCTCGGGGAAAGTTAATTTACAATACTCAGGTCTTCCTCTCTGCAGTGCTGTGTGCTGCTCCATGCAGAGCTGCACGTGTGCCTTGGATTTCTCTTTTTCAAAAACAGCTTTCTACTGATTTCACTTGGAATATCACATGATTGAAAAGAATCCTTGTGTGTGCACGTGTGATTCGAGTGTGTGAGTGTGAGAGCCTGTGGAAGCATAAGGATGCAGGCATTGACATTCCAGTGCTGTCAGCAGGGTGAGGAGCTGCTACTCAAAGCAGATTATTTTCTCACACCACTGTCACTTTTAAAACAAGTTTCATTTTCTGAAGCCATTAGAAATAACAGCTAATTAATGGATTGCTTGGCTTTAAACTGAATTTCCCCTCAAACTTTAGCAAGTTCAGGAGCTGGCACAGGATTAGATCCTCCACTGAGGAGATGAGCAAAAGCTGTCATTGACTATTGCCTTAGGAAGCCACAGTAAGCTCAAACAAGTCAGGTTTCCCTTGATTGTTCAGGGTGGGAGTTGTGATTCCTACATCCCCAATGGGCTTAGGGCCTGCAGGAATTCCATCCCTCATCGCGGGGAGGTTTGCTGGGCAAAGCTGTGCTCAGACAGATGTGAGGCTTCAGAGTGGCACAGCCATAGATGGGGAAGGGCAGTGCCATTTCATATGGGTGCATACAGACCCACCTAGGAGCACCTTCTCCTGTACAGCTGGCAGGCTTGACAGAGACAGAGACTGTTTTGGGACGATGGTTAGGGACAGGTGAAATGGCAATAAGTTCAGAAATTAAATAAGGTGTCCCTTCATTGAGACAAAATGCTGCTCTACTGTTTCCAGTCTCCTAATTGCTTTCAGCAAGAATTAAATATCTCCAGGCTTTGGGAAATCCTACTCAGCATCCAAGTATCTCTCAGCATCTGTCCCACAATCCTTCTGTGTTGCTGTTTCATGTAAAGTTAGGGTAATGATTCCAGTGTGGCTCTCAGGAGTGTTTCACTAATTAAATAATTACTTTCTGTTAAGTACGCTGGAAACTCCTGATGACTGGGAAGAAAAAGTGTTCAGAGCTGTTTAAAGAAAAGAAATGTCTGGCATGGTTTTGCAACATCCTAACAGCAAAGGGATGTCTCAAAGTTGAAATCCATAGGTTACTTTCCAATCCACCCAAAGCACTCTGAATTTGACATGAGCCATTCCATAATTTAAACCTGGAGGGCTGTGGAAAACTGGTTCCAGGGGTGCCATAAGTTATTTATCCTATTGGACTGAATTCCTTTATGCACTGCTGAAAGTCCACAGCCTGTTTAGGCAGTCAGTAGTAACTGTCTGGGTGGGACTGATAACTGAAATATAAATCAAGATGGAAAACTCTACTGATCAGAAAAATATGTTTCTTTCATGTATTATGCTGACTGCAGTGGTATTTTTCATAGGCAGTGCTTAATAAAAGTACTAATATTAAACAGCAGAGAGTGAATAAAGTAAGGCATATTTCAATTAAGTTACTTAAAACCTGTATTAGATTGAATTGTTTGTCAGCATGTACAGTTTTGGATATAATATCCAAAAATTATCCAAATATAATATATAATATACAGTTTGTATAATATCAAAGCATAGCAAGAATGGACTCCTTGATATTCATGGTGTATTTTTTAGTCATTTCCAGGCAATACCCAAGCCCAAACCATGGCCCAATGTCATCAAAAAACTTACCAAGGTTAGCTTGCAAGCCTGCTTTTCTTGTGGAAGAATGCCTGTGCTTTCAGTTTTCAGCTGAATCAGTGAAGAGGGTCCTTTGCCTGTCCCTCCCCTGCTGGGACTGTCAGTGCTGGGCATTCTCTGAGCTTTATAGTGTGGATGTGACAAAGGGAATGGGAAGAGACTGTAGGGAGATTTAAATAGAAGTGTAAGAAATGCTCCCGGGAGTGGGCTTCACCCGGAGCAGTGTCAGAAGTGTGGGAGTGTGACTGCAGTGCAGGCACTGCACAGTCATGGAGCTGGGAGCTGGGAAATGAGAGGGCTGCGGAAGTGTCCTGGACATCCAGAGGTGAAGCCTGAGCTGCCAGAAGGCATTTCACACTTGTCACTGGGCCAGAGACTCCCCAGCAGCAGCCACAGCAGCAGTGGCAGCTCGGCCCATGGCTGTGCAGGACCTCACACAGCCCTCAGATGCTTTTCCTCCGGGATTGCTGACGGACTCTGGGAGGTCTCAGCGCTGGCTGTTCCTCACAGCGGCTGAGACTCATCCGTCCAGGAAGCGCGGTGGCAGACACGTCTGCCCAGAGTGTCTGCAGGCTGGGGATGGCAGCTCTGGCAGATGGATGGTGCTCATTTCCAGAAGGCCTCGCTGATGGATGCTCAGGGGAGCGGGCAGCACAGACTGCCAGCTCGCTGGCCCTCGTGGGGGCTCGGCTGGAAACAGGTCACTCTTGCCATGGTCTGTTGCCTTGGGCTGCTGCAGTGCAGCACCTTATTCTTTCCTGTGTTTGGTTCTTTCAGGTGATCAAGGATCCCCCTCCACCTCCGCCAGCCCCAAAAGAGGTATGGTGCCCCCACATGGAACCACTCCTGTGCTTCCCTGCACGCTGCATGTCCGCCTCCTTGTCCGAGTGCTGCCGGAGAAAGGACTGCCCTGGGGGGTGCCTTCACTGGAGCACAGGGTTCCTAAAGTCCAGATCTCTGCTCTCACAGATCTGGATGTGTGGCTCTCTCCACAGGCCTCAGCTCAGTGTGGCCTGAATTAAGCCCAGATCTGCAGAAACACTTAGGGCCTTTATTCCAAGACAGCTTTGTTTTCCACATTCTGCACTGAAAGCAGAAAGCTTGAATAGCCCTTGTCCAAGATCTAAAGATTCATGTAGGACTTAGGCAGTGTTTTCCCCCTGCTCTGTCATTCCAGACACTGGGGAATCCCCCTAACAAGGGAATTCCTCTCCCTCTTACAGGCAGTAACACACTGGAGGCTCTGCTGTCCTCAGTGTTTGCACCCCTTTCACAACCAACAGGATACACTCTGGGAACTCCAGTGGAATACACAGAAAAGACATTCAGTGTGTGGGTGTGGAAGCATCTTTTAAAAGTAAACACCATTTGAATGTACTTACAGGAAGAAGAACAGGAGCCCTTGCCTTCCAAGAAGTGGCCCACGGTGGATGCTTCCTACTACGGTGGACGAGGAGTTGGGGGAATTAAGAGGATGGAGGTTGGTATGATTTGGAGATGGCAGTTCCCTCAAGCACAAGCTCTCTGAGGCTGCAAGTATGGAAACAAAGACTTGACAGCGCACTGAAAATACAAGGCCATAATGTGTGCTTGTCTTCCCACTGGCATAAGCCTTGGAAAATTCGTTACCATATCGAACAATTCTGACCTTGCCTCTGAAAGAACAGCTTTCAGTAGTTCCATTTGACTGGGACTTTAAATAGCTGCCTCAAGACATGCTCTTTCCATCACGCTAATGAGAAAGAGAGAGTGAGAGCCTTTTCTGCGTGTTTTGGAAGGAATTACAGTGAAACATAAGTCCCCCAAGTGTGGGCCAGCCAAATGCGCTGACAATGGTGACGCTGAGGAGAGGCTTGATCCCAGAGGGACTCGCAGCGACAACAGAGCCTGTCTTTGAAGAGACACGATAGCATCATGTTAATTAAAACAGAATGAAGAATGTGCATCCTTATGGGCACATCCTTATGGCAGGTTTTGTAGTCAAGTCAGCCTATATGGAATGTGCAAAGCAGTTCCTAACTGTAGTCCAGGAAGCTGTCTCTGTCTGAAACACCCACCTAGGCCATGCTGAGGTGTCTTGATGAAACTTTAAAGGTATTGGCCTAATCAGCTTTGCTCGAGTACTTTTTAAATGCAGAGGCAGAACATGCAGGTTTGAAGCTGTGTCACTTATATGCATTTTCTTCAGCAGTTCAGAATTGCTAATTTAGAAGAGCTTCAGATTTCACAAAAACAAACATTTTGTGCAGTGTTTTTCAGAAGCAAACTAGGAAATGCTTTCCAACATCAAGAAGCCTGGATTTGAGGGAAACTATGATAGCCTCCAGGAGGGGCTCCCAAATGGGATCCTGCACAATGGAGCAGAAAGCTCATGAACACAAGTGACATCGGGACCACAAAGAAAGACATGTTCAGCCCATGGCAAAAATGCAAATGAGGGTAGAAACTGATGATTAGGTTAGAAAACCTTTTCATCTGTGGTAGGAATTTTGTGCAGGACTAAGGGCTAAAGAAGTTAACCAACTGAAATTCCTGCCAGCATAATCATGGGCCCTAGAAAAAAGCCCCCCTTTTGTGGGGCTGTGTGGCTCTGTCTGTCCCTGAGACCCCAGAACAGTGTCAGGTGTGGCTGGGCACTGATGGTCAGTGCCTCTGGGTTTGAGTGGGGAGCTTCACCTCTGCCCTGCTGTGTCTGGGACAGGCTGGGAAGATGGGCTCTGGCTGTAGGGAAAGCAGGACAGGCCTCACAGCTCTCCCTGGCTCAGAAGAGCACGCTGCTCCTTTGGGGAGCTGGGGAAGAAGTGAGACAAAACACTCCAAGGGAGGTTGTTTCTTATCTGGCAGGTAAAGGTGGTTTCTGTGCCATGGCCAGTGACAAACTTGCTGGTTCAGTTTGTCATTTCTTCCATGTTTGCAGTCCATGTGGCAGTGGAGTCGTCTGGTTTTTATTGCTTCTCTGGCTTCTGCCATTCCTTCAGCAGCATGATTCATCTGGCTGCTTCCCTTTCTGGAGAAGGGAAAGGACTGAACCATCACCTTTGCAATTCCCACTTCTGTGCTGGAGCAGGTACCCATCCACTCCTGCCTTCTCCACTAGCTCCACTCCTCTGTGACAATCCCAGATAGCTTGGGCAGTGCTCTCCTAGCTCTGTCTTTCGGCATTGCTTTAAAGTTTTGTGATGTCATTGCCAGACCCCACCTGTTACAGTTAATTCATTTTTATGTCAAAATTGGGTGGTCAGACTCCACCACTTGTGGTTTCTTCTGGGTGAATTGGCTTTTGTCTGAAGGAGAAGGTAATTTTTTCAGTGAGAGATCCACCAGCTAATGGTTTTAACAGTGTTTAAAATACATGTTAGCAGCCACATGACAAGCCCTGTAAAAGTACCACTGATCACAGTGAAGACACAGGTGTACAGGGGCCTCCTGGCAGGTCACATCTCAGCAAATGGCATGATTATGGCAAGTCTTGCTGAAATGGTCCAGGCCACTTTCACTAAGGACTCTCAAACTTTCAGCTGTTCCTTTTCGGATGAGAAGGGAACAGCCTTGTCCAGGCTTGTTTCTGTGCACAGTACAGCAAACACTGCTGCTCAGATTGCTGCATGGTGCTTCAGTTAAAGGTGAAACAGGATTCCTGCAGCAAGGTGAATTATCCCTCTTAGCAGGGAGGTTTTTCCATGTATTTAATCTCCAGAGCACAGTGAGTACAGCCTGAATGGAAGTGGGAATATGTGTCTCCCTGGCAGTGATAACCCTGCTTTCCTTCTCTTTCAACTCTCTCTATATTTTATACACTTGGAGCAGTGTAACACACACAGTTAACATTATCATACACATTGTTGCATGTTCTGCATGCACTTAGGCAGGGTAGACAGCTTCACCTGTACTTCTCCAGCATGTATCTTCCTGCAGGACAACATGGAAACCTGGGCAAGTTCAGGGAGCTTCTGCTTAAACCTCCCTAGGCATCACATTAAATCTACATTGGGGTTCTTGAAAACTCTCTGGGCTAGGAGACCTGGTTCAGAAATCTTACCCTTCATGGGTGCAGGTTAAGGTCTGAAATTTTAGGATAAATAAGAAGTAGAAATTATATTTTTGTATCATTACTTAGAGATTTCACAGATCCCCTGTCACCCATGTGAAGCAAGATAGGATTTTTCAGTTCTGAGACTTATTTACAGACATTTACCTAAGACTGAAGAGGTAGTGTTCTCCTCAGTACCTCCTCTCTTGTTTATCCAGCACCTCTTCCAGATTTACCCTGTGTTATTTGCAGCAGTTTCTCTGCCCTGAGGTGCACTCACACCTGAACTCTGCCTTTCCTCAGGTGCGCTGGGGCGACAAAGGCTCCACAGAAGAAGGGGCCAGGTTGGAAAAAGCAAAGAATGCTGTGGTGAAACTCCCAGAAGAACCAGAAGAACCTTATCACCCTAAACCACCTAAACGAAAGCCTACCTCACCAGCCATACAGCAGAAGTGGTACACGCCAATCAAGGTATCTGTTCAGTCTTTGGCACGATTGTTACTAAGGGCTGGGTTCTTTCTGCCTTATGCAGGCTGAGCTGTGCCTTACTTTCCAAGTGTTCCCATTCAAGTGTAATGTGCTATTCTCGAAGGGAACACCTACTCAGCAGGAATGGCAGGAGCAGTTTGTAGCCCTAAATGCACTACTTGATCATTACTGCCACATTCTGTTTGCCTCCCCTTAAAAAGGGACATATTGTACAGTGAGAGCATTAAAATCTATGGGGGCTTTGTTGGCTTAGTAGAGCTAATTAAACCCAAAACTGCACAGTTTGTAGCTGCTACACTAAGTTTTAAACACACATTGTCATGACAAACCAAGAAAAGCAAAAAATTACATAAAACAATGTAATGCAAGAATTCTGATAAAAAGCAAATTGTTCTATCTGGCTCATATGGATGGTGCTCTGACTCACCTGCCACGAGAGCACAAGCACTGCCTACAGGCAGAGGGTAGGTCTGTAAATACCTTGCCTTTAGGTGTTAAGAGCAGCAAACACCCAGGTGTAGCTGGGACACTGGACACTGCTGTCTTCCCAAGTGCCTGCCACTCCTTTCTGACCCCCAGAAAGCCCTAAAGCCGTGATGTCCAGACACACAGGCAAGGTCTGGAGCCATCTGTGCAGTGTGGGATGCTCCTAACCGGCTCTGCTCCCCAGGCGCTCCGGGTGGGCAGGAGCAGCACCACAGTGGTTGCAGGGGACACAGGCCAGCCTTAGCTCTGCTCCCCAGGCTCCAGGGAAACGGTGCTGCCCCGGGCAGCCCCCGTGCGGGTGGGGGTGCTGCTGCCCCTGACTGAGCCCCCGTGTCCCCGCAGGGCCGGCTGGATGCGCTGTGGGCGCTGCTGCGGCGCCAGTACGACAGAGTCTCGCTGATGCGGCCTCAGCAAGGAGACCAGGTGGGTGTGCGGTGCATGGCCGGCCAGGGGCCGGGACACGGCCCGGGGGGAGCAGAGCGACACCAGAGTGGCACGGCGGGAAGGGTGACACACCAGGCGATCCAGGTGGTGGAAGGGGCGTGGCACTAGCCTGGATGCGCAGCACTGGCACAGGGAGGGGTGCTGGATGTGGTGTGTGCTCAGGTGGAGAACAGGAACACAGCCTCGTGCACGGTAAACTCTTGTCACAGGCACATATATCGCTCTCAGACCCAGCTGTTCGTAACAGCAGAGGCTGGCAATAATGTCCATGCAAGTTGCTTCCTAGAGCTTTGCACTTGCACACCAATGACACCTTTCACAGAAGAAGAAGGTGAGGAAATATGTTTTCTCAGATAATCCTTTCTCCTGGAACATCTCTGGCCCCTGAAAAAGGGGCCTCTCTCCCAAATGCTGCTGAGGACACAGAGCTGCTGTTTGCACCTCTGATAGTGAAACCAGATCAAATATTTTTGATTGCTGCTCCTTAGGAAAATATCACTTTGATTGTCAGCATTTATCTCCTGCATCCACTCAGCTTCCTGTCTGTGGCACTTGGGAAGACCCATGGGAGCAAATGCTTTACTTTCAACAGGATGGCAGCAGGTCACAGTCTCACATACTCCAGGGCACTGTCTGTGCACCATGCGACATGAAGGCCACATAAAAGGATGACAGGGCTGAAGGGGAGGGAGTTACATGTGGTAGAATGGGAGGGAACGGGAATTTTGATTATTTTCCCGGGATGAAGTTTGGTGCTGTTCAAAAGGATGAAGAGGTGAGACTAAGGTAAGGCAAGTGTTGGAAACAGCAGAATGGCCAAGTGCTGTGCTGCAGGTGGAGAGCACAGCTGGATACAGCTGTTAGCATTGTTACGTGACAGGTTAGTCACTGTTTGCATGAATGATGCATGTGACATGGAGCAGCAATAACAACGGCAATCTACACACAAAATACATGGCACAATACAGTTTAACAGGTAAATGCAATGTAAACAGGAACGTAGAAG